TCAGAGCTGTAAGAGAGTTTGTGCCATAAAAATGAAGGTTGGTGCATCCAAATTAAGGCAATGGAGACTGAAATGGGGCTTTGGGCTCCAAGAATGGTCATTTGCTTTTCTTTTTTCAGCCTAAAACTGAGGCTCTGACCCTGAATAAAAAAATGGGTCAGGAACCTGAAATTGTGAGGGTTTTTTACAGCCTAGACATGAAATCCTTGAGTTCAAAACGTGATTCTTTATGCCATAAACAGCTGCTGTGCATCCTAAGTGAACTGAAAAAAAAGAAGCTGAGAAACTTAGCCAAGTTTAGTCACTGTTCAGTCAGGTATTCTTTCCTAGTGACACCAGGAAGCACTGGGGATATTTCCACCACAAGCATTTTAAAGATGACATGATTCAGAGCCCATTATATTTCCACAGATAGTAATATTCATCAATTATCCATGAGAGAATTAACATATAGACACACCTATCTCAGGCTGTGATTTATGAGGTTTCCAGACTTCTATTCTCTTCTACCATCCAGCACCCTTTTAGCATCACGACAGCTTTTTCCTTCATCCAGGGGTCTTCCTCACTCACCCTCCAGATGGACTTCCTTCACTGACTCATGCTCAGTAGGAAGGTGCCTATTATGTATAGGCACCAAAATTGTTAACATTTGCTCACTCAGCACTTGGCCGTGATTTCTGGACATATACTCATCCTCGGATAGAGGTAAGTTTGGCAACCTGTCTTTTAATGATAGCGCTGGAACCTAAGTGTTGGTGTTGGAAGATGAGGATGAGGGGAGTACCTTGACACCAGCCTACCCCCAGAGTGAGACAATTTGGCTCGTGTGGAAAAGAAGCCCTGGCTTCTTTTCATGTTTGATAAGCCTACTCGCATCATTTCTTTATTGTGTTTCTTTTGCTGAAGCTCTCTTGTTAAAACAGAATAGTCTTACAACACACTTTCTAGTCTACAGTGCTATCCATAACCATTTGCAACATCTCAAAGCTATTACAGTTCTGCAAGCAAAAGCTGATCACACAATACAACAATTCAACAGCTATATTTCTACGAACACTAAAGCATACTGTGTATTTACTTCTTCAAACCACGAGGAAAAGACACAGGGCACTAAAACAGTGACAGAGACAGCGCCTCCCGGCGCCAGCCCAGCGCCCTCGCTCCGCAGCGGGGCTCACAGCAGCGCCGAGCCGGCGGCCCGACATCCCCGGAGCCCGGAGGAGGCGGCACCCCGGAGGCGGGGCGGGGCCGGGGCCACGTGCGGCGGCAGCATGGCGGCGACGGGACGGCGGGCGAGAGCGGCGCGCGGGGTCGCGGCGGGGCGGCGCCGGCGGCCGCGGGTGGAGGTGAGCGCGGGGCTCGGGGCGCACGGGCCGGTTCCGAGGGCCGGTTCCCAGCGCGGCTCGGCGCTGACGGTGCCGGCGCGTCTCCCCAGGGCCCGGGCGCCGAAGGGAAGCCCCGGCCGGCGCCGTCTCGGAGCCGCGACGAGGAGGTGTCCAGCGAAGAGGAGGCGGAGAGGTGAGCGCTGCTCCCGGGGCTCCGGGGCTCTCGCGGCTCGGCGCGGAGCTGACGCGACTCCGGCAGCGCGGCGGCGGGGCGGCGGCGGGAGGAGGCGGCGGCCGAGGAGGAGGTGGAGGAGACGCCGCAGGAGAAGAAGCTGCGCCTGGCCAAGCTGTACCTGGAGGAGCTGCGGCGGCACGGTGAGCGCGGGCGGCGGCGGCGGCGGCGGTGGCGGCGGCGGGGCGGGCGGGGTGGCCCTGAATCCCGTACCTATCGCAGAGGAGGAGCGGGCGGAGGAGGAGGAGGAGGCGGCCGCGGGTTTCCCCGGGGATCTCGTCGGCGAGCGCCTGAAGGAGGCCGTGGTGAGTGGGGGGCCGACGGCGCGGCGGTGGGGCGGCCTCGGGGCCCTCCCTTAACCCGCTGTGCTCCCCCAGCTCGAGCAGCAGGGCCGGCTGCGACGCCCCGTGGCCCAGGACGTGAGTATACGTACGGCTCGTAGGGCACCGCTACCGGCTCGTGGCCGGGAAGAACCGGCGCCGTCCCGCTCACGGCCCCGTCCCGCTAGGTGTGCCCTCCGGCCGCCGCCGCCATCCGAGTGCTGCGGGGCCACCAGCACTCCGTCACCTGCCTCGTCGTCTCTCCAGATGACAAGTTCATCTTTTCGGCTGCTAAGGATGGCTCCGTCATCAAATGCAAGTGCTTCTGTTTCTCCTGCCTGCTGCGGTCAGCCTCGCTGCCATGGGGACCTGGCGGGAGCGGGGCTGCGGGTGGAGGTGGATCTGCCCGCCTCTTGCCTGGAAGTGGCTGCGGTGCACAGGAGCTGGGCTTGTTCAGCCAGGGGAAGGCTTTAGGGAGACCCTGTTGTGGCCACCAGGATTTAAAGGGAGTTTGTCAACAGGGAGAGCGACTTTTTACGTGGGCGGATGGTGATAGGGCATGGCGTTGGTTTTACACTAAAAGAGGAGAAATACAGAGTACACGTGAGGAGGAAATCCTTCTCAGAGGATGGTGAGGCCCTGGCACAGAGAAGCTGTGGATGTCCCTCTCTTGGAGGTGCCTGCAGCCAGATCTGGTGGGGGGCAGCCAGCCCAGGGCAGGGGAGTAGGAAACAGATGGTCTTTAAGGCTTTTTCTAAGCTGTTCTATGATTGGCCTCTGGGCAGGGCGCTGGGCTTTGTGCACAGCTCACAGCTCATTCGTGCTTCCTGGGGCAAGGGAGGCTCCTGTGGGTGATGGTGTTGTCTGTCCTGCAGGGGAGGTGGAGAGTGGGAAGAGACTCTGCGTGGTGCCTGGGGGCAAGAAAGGCACGGAGGGGCAGCCCATGGGGCACACGGCCCATGTTCTCTGCATTGCCATCTCATCGGACGGCAAGTACCTGGTACGGTGACTGAATGCTGGTGCTGCCCCATGGTGCTACATGCTGTCACCAGTAGCTCTTGGCCCTGTTCCCATATACTCATGAACCTCTGAAAGAGGAGGTCAGGTGGGGAGGTACATCCTTTTCTCCAGGATTCTGGAGAACAGCTCCTAATGCCCAGCTTCATCTTGCTGGTGAAGCTGGGTTGAAGCAGCCGCTGCTTCAGCCATCATCAGGAATGTTCTTGGACATGCCCCCCCCAGCAAAACACACAGAATAGGTGTTGTGGGTCTGTTGGGGCGGGCAGGTGTTGGGCATCCCCTCCTTTCTGCCAGGCTACGGGAGACAGGAACAAGCTGATTCTGATCTGGGAGGCAGCCACCTGCAAGCGCCTTTATACATTCACTGGTCATCGTGATGCTGTGTCGGTGAGTAAGGATGTTGGCTGAAATGGGGAGGAAGGCTCTCACCTCTGGTGGGCAGTGCATGCCACCTCCTCTTGGTGACCTGGGAGCAGTGGGGCCTCCCCGCAGTGGAGGCCCAGCTCTGAGATTGCCCTCAGGGACACTTGGGCAGGGCAGTGTTTCATCTGTTGGTCTGTCCCTCCACAGGGCCTGTCTTTCCGGAAGGGCACATACCAGCTGTACAGTGCATCCCATGACCGCTCCGTCAAGGTTTGGAATGTGGAGGAGAATGCTTACGTGGAGACCCTGTAAGATCTGGTGGAGCGAGGTTTTGTCACTATATCCCCAAGCAAAGGGAAGAAGAGTGAGGGTGCGGGGTCATGGCCCCTGCAGCTCCTCCTCATCTCCCCTGCCAGCTTTGGGCACCAGGACGTCATCACAGGGATGGACAGCCTGAGTCGGGAGTGCTGTGTTACCTCAGGGGGACGAGATGGCACTGTGCGTTTCTGGAAGATCCCCGAGGAGTCACAGCTCATTTTCTATGGACATCAGTAGGTCTGGGGCAGGAAGGGGGTGTGCTTCTGCTGGTGGTTCCAGCAAAGCTTCTGTATGTGTTCAGTATCACCAGGAGCCTGTCAGTACTGTGGGGATTCTGTCAAACCTTTTGTGCCTGGAGCTCTGCACCCTACAGGATTCCACGGTATGCTCATGGTTACTGTTAACTGTCTGCTCTTGCAGGGGCTCCATCGACTGCATCCAGCTCATCAATGAGGAGCACATGGTGTCAGGTGCTGATGATGGGTGAGTGCGGGGCTGAGAGTGTGCACAGCCTTGTCAATCCTTGTGCCTCCAATGCCTTCAGCCCCTTCCTTGCAGGTCAGTGGCTCTGTGGGGGCTGGCGAAGAAGAAGCCACTGGCAGTGGTGAGGCAATCGCATGGGACTCAGGGCTCTGCCCAGGACCTGCAGCAGCCGTACTGGGTATCTGCAGTGGCCGCCTTGCTCAACAGTGACCTTGTGGCTACAGGTGCCTGGTGCTGGGAGAGCTGTGTTCTCTTCTGGCAGTGTAGGTTTGGGGTCCTTTGCTTTTGCTGGTGCTAGGATGTGTGCCCTCTTTGCTCCAGGTTCCCACAGTGGATGTGTGAAGTTGTGGAAGTGCGGCGAGGGATTTCAGAAGCTGGAGCCCCTCTGTGATATCCCATTGGTACAGATGGGGGATGCTGGAGCTGGGGGGAGGCCCTTGCAAAGCTCCCCAGGGTGGGAGCAGGCCTGGTGCTGACACCTCTGCTATTTCCTCCAGATTGGCTTTGTCAACAGCCTGAAGTTCTCGTCAGCGGGAGACTTCCTGGTGGCTGGCATTGGGCAGGAGCACCGGTACCGTTCCTGTGCCCCATTTTCCAGGGCTTAGACCCTCCCTTCTAGCACCTGGCTGGACCGGGAAAGGCATGGGTGGACACTCTTTTCACCTGCAGGTTGGGCCGATGGTGGAGAATAAAAGAAGCCAAGAACTCCATCTGCATCATCCCTCTTAAATGTAGAGCCGGAGCCCCTGGTCCCATGGCAGCTGATTGCGCATAGTCTCCAAGCACTACCCTAAGAGCTACAGGAATTGGATCATTAAAGCCTGTGTAGCACAGAGTACAACAGCTCCAGTGTTGTCATTGCTGCTTGGAGCTGCAGCGGTGCACCTACCACTGCCTGAGGGCCCTGCCTGGATACATACTGTGCCCTTCTTGAGGTTCTGCCACACCTGCGGTTAGGCAGAGCACATTAGAAAAACAATGAACAAAAATCACTTACATTACCAAAACCAAACAAAAATCACAATTTTGGGTACAGAAAAAGATTAGTTTTAAAAAGGGGTAGGGCTTATCTGGTGAGGACCTGTTACTCAGCTGTGATCTGAGCCTCTGCACAGGAACTGCTGGGATCAGCAGTGCCCTGAGGCATGGAGCAGGTGTTTGCAGTTGGGCTCTTGTAGAGGGGCCTCTGGTCCCCACTTTCTAGGTTCCTCAGGGACAAGGCAGTGGACAGGATCCTTACAAACCCAGGAGTAAAAATGATGAGGAGCTGCCAAAGTTGCAGCCCCCTCTGATCAGAGTTGGCTGCAGATGTCTTGGGAAAGTTTATTTGTGGCATGGATCAGCACAAGGGAAATGTGAAATTAGAGAACTGAAGGAGAAAGTGGTGTGAGGAAGAGCAGTGTGCTCCCAGATTATCTCTGCATGGAGGAGGCATATGGTGGGGGACAGAGCAAGTGATGCATGACTGATAAGCATGGCTGACCTGGTTTGTGCAGCCCCCAGGCTTGAGCTGTTGCTTCTTGGGAGGAGGTGCAGGCAGGCTAGAGCACAGCCTTCCTTTAATCATCACAAGGGTGATGATGTGGAGTCTGCTGATCAGTAGCTATTGCACGCTGTGGGCCTGCACTGCAAGGCCAAGCCTTGTGGGGAAGGCAGATGTGTGGGGGTTCAAGCTGCAGTATCCTCATGGGCTGTCCTAGGGAGGTGGTAGTGGGTGCCTCAAAGCTGCACCTGTGATATGGCTGTGTCCCCGCAGGGTAGTGATAGGTCCCAGGAGCAGTTTGGGGTTCAGCTATGTGTGGTGCAGCAGGGGAGGACTTGGGACAGGGCAGCCAGTCCTGCAAGCACGGCAGCACCGCTGCAGCACCTGCTGTGCTGCCCCGTCCCCTTGCCATAGCAGTTGAATCAAACAACGCTCTTGAACATTTCTGTGTCAAGAAAAAAATCCAAAGACTGAAAGGGAGGGTTGTGTTCCAGAAATGATGGTTTGCACTTCAGGACGGGGCTTTAGAATTTAAAGCTGGGGTTTTGGACTCCCCCGTTCAGGGGCTGCTGGATCCCAAAATGATGCTTTGATCCCTCAGAATGGGTACTTGGACCATAAAAGGAGGCTCTGAGCCCTATTTTTCAGGCCCTGTCTGATAGAATGGGGATTAGGGAACTTAAAAAGATGGGTCTTTTCTCTTTGGACCCTAAAAAGTTGACTTTGCAGCTTAAAGTGAAACTGTGGGGCCTAAAAATCAGACATTACACTCTGAGAATGACAGCCTGGGCTGTAGAGCTGTTATCAACCAATATCAGAGCTGAGAGTACAAGCAAATGACAGCTTTTGGTTCAGAATGGAGTCTTGGGGCCCTGACGGCAAGAGTTTGGTCACTAAGGCCTGAGGGTCCTGCCGAGCAAAAGATTTGCTATCACAGACAGAGGCTTGAGACCCGAAAACAAAGTTTGGAATCTGGAAACGAGACATTGTAAAAACCATAGAAAGGAAAGAGCTTTGAGAGCCTGGAGATGGGGTATCCGCACCCTAAAATAGGCCTTATGACACTGAAGAGGATTATTTGTAACTGAAACGGAGGATCTGGGTCCTGAACAGCAGGCTCTGGGAACTAAGAACCATAGAATCGTTTCGGTTGGAAAGATTTGCTTAAAACCCGTGGGGCTTCAGGGAGGCTCCAGACGGAAGAGTCCAACCCGGCCCTCACAGACGCTTTATGCTACCTCAGGCAGCTTCCCGCCCACCCCATCCCGCTCAGCCGCGAGCAGCGGCGGGCCCGGCGCCGCCCCTTCAGCGAGGAGGCGGGATGAGACCTCCGTGCCGCCGGAGGGCGCTCGACCGCCGCCTGTGACCGCGCGCGGCTCCGTTACTACGGGGGGCGGGAAGGAGGCGAAAACAAACGGCAGCGCGCGGGAGGGCGGCATGGCTGCTGGCGGAGCGGTGAGGGCTCGGGTAACGGGCTGCCGGGTCCGGGAGCTCGGGGTCCGGAGAGCCGCTGAGATCCGGTCGGAAGCTCCGTGGTGGTGGGCGGGAGTAGCTGTGGTTCTGTGGGGGCCTTGGCGCTGCATGACGGGGGCAGGGAGCAGGTGGCGCTTAGGTGTGAGCGTGGTTAGGAGAGGGCTGTGTGCGTGGGAGCGGGCATTGGAGGCTGAGGGGCTGGTTTTGGAGTCTGAAGGACTTTCCTTTTGTGAGTATTATTATTATTTTCACTTCATTCCGTGCTTTTTCTCGGCCTTCGCAGCACAGCGCGGTGTGGAGCCGTGCCAGGGTCAGCTGTGGGTGCTCTGCACCAATGGCAGTGGGAAGTATATTGCAAGAAATGCACAGCTGGTTTGTGCAAGTTGGATAAGGCCAGGACAAGCTATCAGCATGAATAATCTGCCTTTCAAGAACTTAATGATAAACAGGGAAATACGTGTTTTGTACTGCATGAAGTTCATAGCACCAGCTGACTTTCATGTGGCTTGGTTAGCTTGCCGTGGAAATAAAATGTTTTTATCGTGTGAAGATGATTCTTAATCTGTCTTGTCTGAACATTATTGTTTTCTAGGATGATCCGTCCCTAGAGAGGCATTTCAAAGGCCACAGAGATGCAATCACTAGTGTGGACTTCAGTCTCAATAAGAAACAATTGGGTAAAGTATTTTGATGGCCTGCTGATAAAAAAGGATTTCTCTTAAGTTATGTGAACCTATGGAGGTCCTGAATTATAAAAGAATTAAGAACTTTGGTGGAGTCACCAACCCTGGAGGTGTTCAAGGAACGTTTGGATGTTGTGTTGAGGGATGTGGTTTAGCGAGAACCATTGGTGATAGGTGGATGGTTGGACTGGATGATCTTATAGGTCTTTTCCAACCTTAGTGATTCTGTGATTCTGTGAACTCATTTTTATAGTGAAAAGATTGGTGAGTTTTGGGATGAGTGTTTTATATGCAACTGGAAGAATTGCAGAACTGCAGAATGGCTGAGGTTGGAAAGGACCTGTGGAGTTTGTCTGGTCCAATCTCCTTACTCTTGCTGGGTTCCTGAGAGCATGTTACCCAGGACAGTGTACATATGGCTTTTAAACAACTCCAGGGAAAGAGTCCACAGCCTTTCTAGGCAACCAGTGCTGAGTCACCCTGTCTGGAAAGAAATTCTTCCTCATATTCATTTGCAACTTCCTATCTGCAAACTTTCTGTTTGTTCCCAGTGCTTCTCGTCCTGTTTTTGAACCACAGTGACAGGTTGTGAGCATCCTGTTGGAGCATTAGGAATGTCTGCTGTTGCCTAAAACTACTTTGCTTTATGGTGCAGTAAATGCAAATTAAAACCGTATTATTATTATTTTTTCTGCTCTGCATAAGTATTTTTCTTCTTCCATCTTCTGTTTCACCTGATTTGGCATTTGCCTGTGGTTACACCAAGGCTTGTGTCACAGCTGCTGTTAGTGAACTTGTGTATTCTTGGAACAGGAGCCAGCAGGAGTTGTGGCTCTCAATGAAGCTGTAGTTTGGTCTGTGAGAACGTTGCTTTGGCTCATGATGAAGATCAGGTGGAAATGGTTCTTGGAGGCAATGTGTCTGATGGGCTGTGGATGCAGAAATGAGTAAACAGAAATACAGCAGTCTAAGCAGGTGTTTTAAGTTGTAATAATCCTGTTCTGTGTCCTACAACCTGCAGCACTGTAGCTCTGGAAGATACAAGGAACGGAAAATCAAACCTGTCTTGGACGGATGCTGTCTGTGTTGTTTTCTGCTGTCTTTTTCATCCTGCTCCTTGTGTCTTTGATTGTGGAGTGATTTCATTGTGTTCTGCATCCATGATTGTTTGCCTATCCCTAAAAACATATCTAGTCAATGCAAATATCTGGTCAGTTGGGATGCTCTGAATGTAACTTAACAGTGCTTTTGACTGGCCTTTCTGAAATAGCATGTGAGCCTTTACGTCCTCCAACTGGACCTTGAAAGAAGTACTCTTGATATTTTTAATAAATGTGATCGTGTAAGAAAGGAAATGAGTTCTAAGCATGTTTCTTTTTCAGGCATTGTTGGGTCAATCACATGTACTTTAGTCTTATGAGATCTTAGAGTTCTTTTTTTCCCACATCCTTTCTTTTTCCACACCAAAATCAGCCAACTAATCCTAAAGGACTAGATCTTTCTATTCTATTAGATTGCTTGCCTAATCCAGTAAGGATGGTAGTTACTGCTAACGAGTTCCAAATAGCACCCTACCAAAACACTTTAATGATGTGTCAGAGAATTATTTTCCTTTATTTTTTTTTTGTATCAGTCCTGTAAAAACTATGGTATTTACAGTAGTAGTTTTGCCAGACAATGTCTTAGTGAAACTATGATTAAAGTTTAAATCTCTTTCTGCTCAGCCATGTACTGCTTTTATACAGTTGTCTCCCTTTAAATCCCTAAGATATTGCTTGAGTGAGATACAGAAGCAATAGACAAATGAATAAAGTTGTGGTTTTTGTTTGTTTTTGTTTGTTTCTCCATCAAGAACATATGTAATCATAGAACCATTAAGGCTGTAAAAGACCACTATAATTGTAAAGTCCAGCCATGAGCCCATCCCCATCCGCTCACTGACCACGTCCCTCAGTGCCACATCTCCACAGTTCTGCAACACCTTCAGGGATGGTGACCCCACCACCTCCCTGGGCAGCCTGTACCAATGCATTACTGCTCTTTCTTGGAAGAAATTCTTCCTAATTTCCAATCTGAACCTCCCCCTAAAGAAGGTCTGCACATCTGCCAGACTCACAGCTCGGCACTTCTGCCCCATTGCTTGTGTACCAGCACCTGCTTTGCAAACGACTCTATGAAATAAACATGTCCTGAACCAGTATCAGAAAAAGATTGTTATTTTTCTGTTTAAGAGACTGTGAAATGACATTTCTAGTAGAAGCTATTTGTTGTTTTGCCATAGTGCTGATGAACTGAAAACTTCTTGTAATTATGATACTGCCATAGTAGGACCTGCTGTCAAACTGATCTTTATTCCTAGAGGAGTTTTGAGATCTTGGTGCAGGTATGTCCCATGTAGCTTTTGGGAAGAGAAAGACACCTAGGGTTTCTTGGCAGGCAAAGATGTGCACACTCTGTACTTGCCTGTGGAAAATCTACAAAGTTTTCTATTATTTAGGTGTTAAGGTGCTTTAGGAGGCTAACATCATTGACATAGTCTCTGAGACTTGCTGTCTAGTGTTTTTTCTCTTTGCTAAGTTGATGTTATTGTATATTTACTCTTTACCAATAACCAGGGGCACTGTGTTGCAGACTTCGTACAGCATGGTGGGCTTCAGGGGGGATGAATAGATTTTCAGTTTTAAGTTTGCTGAGTTGGCAGTGAGACCTGAGGAGGGCAATTCTAGGCTGGAATGGAATTTATCCATGTAAACTTGTTGTCTGGTGTTCTTATCAGGGACAGTTTTCCCTCCCTACGTATGGGGAGGAGCAATGGCTTGTATAAATTTCAGCAGCATGGGGATGCTTTCATTTGAGATGTGTTTTCATCAGGTTAGAGCTGGCCTCTCCTTGCAGCCAGCTGTGAGCTGTGGAGGGGAAGCAAGGCAAAGAACAAAGCATTTCTTGAAGATGGGATCAGTTTTATTGCTGTGGGTGCAGTGTGCACACATCTGAATTCTGCCTCCTATTTACAGATCTTTTGCTCTTGCTGATGAAGGAGGTCTTAGAAAAACAGCATCTGACTGGGGACACAAACATTCTTCTTGCTATAAGTGTTTGTCCCTTGCAGAGTCCCTACAGCCTCTTCTTGTCTTTGGAGCATGCATTTCATCCCTTTTTCAGAAGCCCAGGAGTAAAGACAAATTGCAGTTTGTGGTGGTTGCTTTTTTTTCCCTCTTTTTTTTTTTTTTCTTTTCTTTTAACTGTTGAATATAGAAGTAGACATGAGAATGCTGAGTGGGTATAGGTAGGTAGACGGATCTATGTCTCCACCCATGGTCCCTTAAGGCTTCTCATGATTGCCATGAAGTCCCACTAACCCTTCCTGTTGCAAAATGAGCACTGCTCTAATTTTATTGCAAGCTTGGATTTTTCCTAAGTCCTGAGCTGGGTCAACATTTTGCTACAGGAAAAGAGCTAGGTGTCAGGGGGATGAAATATGTATGGGTTTCCTTTAAGTCATAGGTCACAGGGCTTTTCTGCCTAATCGGTAGGGTGCTACTTGATATTCAGACTGCCTCTGTTTTCCAATGAAAAAGTGATGAGATAAGCTTCCTCCATAGAAGTTCCATGCATTTCCTTAGTATGTGTTTATTTGGCTTTGCAGATTGTGTGGCCTTTTTCTCTGCAGCTGTTGCATTATCTTGGGAGCTGAAATGTCAGATCAAGCCAATGCAAGGGTATGAATTGCTAATTAAATACAGTGTGTGCAATGCATCAGTGAAATGTAAAAGTATGCATGAAGCTGTTGGAAGCTGTGTTGCCAAATGGAGAATGAAAAGTAGCTCCGTTTTAATTGGAGGAGAACTAAGACAAGTTGCCTTTTTTTCTTTTCAACACAGCAAGTGGCTCAATGGATTCATGCCTGATGATCTGGAGTATGAAACCTCAGATGAGAGCCTATCGCCTTGTGGGACACAAAGATGCAGTGATGTGTGTTCAGTTTTCCCCTTCTGGCCACCTTGTAGCTTCGGGCTCCAGAGATAAAACAGTCTGCTTATGGGTTCCCAGCACGTAAGTATCTATTCCCTCTGTGTCTCCTTTTGTGTTTAACTCTGCCGTGGGATTTTTACCTCTTGAGAGCAGTTCTCCAGGTCTGGGACTGAGGAAAGAACAGTTCTATGCAGCAGCTCAGACAGAGAAGAGATAATTCAGTCTTGAAATGCCACTGGAAATGAAATTGAAGCCCCTTAAAAAGCTTAAAGTCACAGAATCACAGAATCACTAAGGTTGGAAAAGACCTATAAGATCATCCAGTCCAACCATCCACCTATCACCAATGGTTCTCGCTAAACCATATCCCTCAACACAACATCCAAACGTTCCTTGAACACCTCCAGGGTTGGTGACTCCACCACCTCCCTGGGCAGCCCATTCCAGTGCCTGACCACCCTTTCAGAGAAGTAGTATTTCCTAATATCCAGCCTGAATCTTCCCTGGCACAGCTTGAAACCATTCCCTCTAGTCCTATCACCAGTTATACGGGAGAAGAGGCCGACCCCCAGCTCGCTACAACCTCCCTTCAGGAAGTTATAGAGAGCAATGAGGTCTCCCCTGAGCCTCCTCTTCTCCAGACTGAACAATCCCAGCTCCCTCAGCTGCTCCTCATAAGGCCTGTGCTCCAGACCCCTCACCAGCTTTGTTGCCCTTCTTTGAACACGCTCCAGGGCGTCACTAATGTTGCCCCTTTTTCCCTGCCCTTGTCAGTCTCTTGTAGTAAACCAATCCTTTGCTTCTCTGCTAATTGAAAGCAAGATGCTTAAACTCCAGCTGGAGTATAGCAATGGAGATAACTGTTCTGTGAGCAGGGTGAATTTACTTACATTTTCAGTTCCTTACTTGCCTCTTCCCATAAAGATTTCAATTTTTGAGTAGAGGCCTTAGTTCCCTTGAATGGCTGTCCAAGCTGATGACTTGCCTGGGTTGACCTGAGTGAAGAGGAATTGTCTTGAGCTGCATATAAAGTATATAATATTGTTAATGTATATATGCTGCAAAACCTCTTATTTTTTTTTGTTAAAGCATTAAAAAACCAAAAACCATAACACTAGCAGGATATTTGACCTTGTTTTAGTGGAACTAATGCATCAGTCTGGTTCATTGGAAGTGATTGCAGTTTTCAGTGAGTTCCCAAGGTTTTCAGCAGAGATTTTTGATGAGATTTTACTCTAAGTTTCATCCTTGAAAACAGTTGTTCACAAGTTTATGTACTGCCAAAAAGCCATGACATGAGCAAGGCAGATTGTGAAGCCAGGGACATCTTCCTCTGGTAAGATGAAACTTATAAAAGTCTGGTAAAGAGACATAATCAGATTTCTCTTTCAGATGAATATCTGATGGCAACCCTATACATTCCAATTTAAAATTTGCAGATAATGTATATTATGTCAACTGAAAATGGAGTCACAGATACACAAAAAAATTGATGATTCTTTCAGCAGTCTTGAAACCTGTTCTCATATTCCTTTATCAAAATGAAAAACAAGGCTGCATGTTTTTTGCTTTTCACAAGACTGTGTTTAGCCAATGTATCTGTAGTGGAAATGCTCAGTCACAACCTGAAACAGTGTTTGAGCACCTGGTGGGAAGGCAGGGCCAAACCAGGGGAGCTCAGGTGCAAGCAATGCACTTGGATAACTGGAAGGGGTGGAGCCAGGATCCATCCTTTCCCAGACCTCATTTAAGGGTTGTCAGTGGTGCTGAGGATATCTCTTGCTGGAGAGCCCTGCCTACCTGAAACCTTTCCAAAGGTAAGCAGCTCTTTTCCTTTATTTTTGCATCTATGGTTGCTGCATTTGGACTTACTCTCATTTGTTGTAGCCAAACATTTTGCCACCCTGCTATCATCATCCCATTATAGCATTACAGGATTAAAATACATAGTTATTAACTGGAGTCAGCCCTGTGCTGTGCCTGCCTTGTGCCCTGTTTTCACCCCAGGCAACGTTAATAGCACACCTTAACTCATTTGTCAAGTTCTTGGCAGACACTGAGAATCTTCATAGCTTCTTTTGTTTTACTGTTATGTCGTATTTCATGTGAGATACAAGAACACAAGCAGGAGAGAGCAGAGCTTCTGCCTCAAAACTTAATTTTGCTGCAAGTAAAGCCTTTTGTGGCTGAGGTACAGAAAAAGAACTCCCAGTTTTTCCTCTAGCTTCTTGTGGAATTGTTTTTTTCTTTTTTTTTGAGAATGGGCAAACATATAAAGAGGTGTTTGAGGTCCCTTTGCTTCTGAGCTTATTGACTGATGTTATTAAAGGCTAATAAAGTGTTTCTAGAACCCAGGGGTGAAGCAGACCTGAAATCTGTGGTAGTAAAATAAAATGGTTTTAAAAAACAAACAAAACAAATATTCCCCAGTTTTAAACCTTCAGGAGCCTGCAAAAGCATTTTTAGTTATTTAGGTTTTGTTGAGCTCTGCTGTCTATGAAATACCTGCTGAAAGTTTTATTTGACGATACATTAAAGAATAAGCAGCCTATGCTGTGGAGCTGTTAGGTTTTGAAATTGTCTTTTTAAATTCTATCATAATGTTTGCTAGAGTAATATTCTCTCTGTCCTCTAAGCTAAGTTAAATTTGTGTCCTCATTTCCAACTACTCACCAATCATCATAGAATCACAGATTCGCCAAGGTTGGAGAAAACCTCTAAGATCATCCAGTGCAACCATCTACTTGTCACCAATGTTTCCCACTAAATCATGTCCCTCACTACAAAAGCTAACACTTCTTGAATACCCCCAGGTTTGGTGGCTGCACCACTCCCTTGGCAGCCTGTTCCAGTGCCTGGCCACTCTTTTGGAGAAGAAGCATTTCCTAACATCCAACCTGAATCTCCCCTGGTGCAACTCAAAGCCGTTCCCATTTGTTCCATCACTAGTGAGAGAAGAAGCCAACCTCACCTCACCACAACCTCCCTTCAGGGAGTTATAGAGAACAGTAAGGTTCCTCTGTGAGCCTCATTTTAACCCCTTCATACCTAGTTTAAAGCCCTCTAAGTGGGCACTGCGTGCTCCTGTGCTAGAATCTGTTTTCCTCCTTTGAGACAGATGAGACTCAACTGCAGCCGTCTGGCCAGGTGCCAAGTAAACCACTTTGTGGTCAAAAAAAACCTGCCAAATTCCTTGCACCAGTCTCTCAGCTACCAGAGATGGATTTTCCTGGTCCTTTCAGTATCCCTTCCTGCCACTGAAGGGATAGAGGAAAATACAAGCTGTATGCCCACTCTATCCTCTAACTACCCCAGTCCCCTGAAGTCCTTTTTGGTAGTCCTCAGACTTCAGTCAGCAACTCCATCGCTGCCGGCCTGAACTGTCAGTAGTGGATAATAGAGAGAGGGGCAAACCAGACAAGGAAGTTTAGTAGAAATAACTTTAGTAGAAATAACTAGAATAACTGGCCTTGGTGCTAGGGAGGCAGCACACTTCACTGCAGGTAGGGTAGGGCCAACATATAGGGCCCTCTGATCCTCTTACAGGGAGTCACCTATAGCAGTCATCCTGCTGTCCTTGGTGAAGGCAGTCTTGAGATGTGGAGTTGACCTTCTCACTCTGGATAGCCTCATGGGTGGACCTCCCACTGCATCCTCACTCACCTCTGCCTCAGGTTCCAGAGCCTCCAACTGTTATGTTGGTGCACCTGGGGAGCTCAGTAGGTTGGGATGAGGGTTGCCTTTGCTGTCAAGCTGAGAAAATAAAAATGAAGGTACTGCCATACTGGAATAATGCATGAAGTGGAGGGAGTAAGTACTGGCTCCAGCTCCCATGCCCAACAGTCCATGTAATATAAAGTCCTCTCACGGAAGAGGTATCAGATATTAAACTGCCAAGATATTAAAAGGCCAAGAAGCGATCATGACACTCACCTGAAACTGATGCCTGACCTCTTGTAAAAATCCCTAGAACTCACTTTGTATTCTGAATGAGTTACATATCTGAGGCAGATGTGTTGTTTTCACTTGACTAAAGTATGGCACCTTCTTCTAGTGTAAATCTCAGTGTATCTGTTAACTACAGAATTATTACAGTGATTTCATAACAATGTAATGACTATACAATGAATACGGTAGAAGTTTAATGCAGTTAAAACTGAATTCATAGTAAAAAAGAATTAAATGTGCACATTATAATTTAAATTATAGTTAACTTCAGCTTAGTTAAACTTTCCTGAAATTAATAATCTCAATGGCATGTCAGCCTGTATGTTATTTAGAGACACAAGGGTAATGATGTTTGATAAAATTTTAAACTTTGCAACTCATTCTGGAGTAATAGAAGAGACTAACAGTGTCATTCTGATGTCTTCAGAACTGTGCTGCTTGCTTGTATATAATATTGGAGAGGAATAATAGAATAGAGTAGTTCACTTAGAAAGGACCTATGAAGGTAATTGAGTCTACTGTCTGACCCCTGCATGCTATTTGTAGCTTTTTTTCAACATGCATAATGTTGGCTAGCTTCCAGTCAGCAGGGACTTCCCCATGCTTTCGGTAAACTGTTGAGAGGGTTCCAGCTACAACATCACTAACTGCCTCAGCCAGTTGGATAAATTCCATCAGAGCTGATGGACTTACATTCAGCTGGTACCACTGGTCCTATACAGTTCTGGTGACCACAGATGGAAAGTTATTGCTCTGCCAGCCGTGGTCCTCCAACTCAGAGGATTTGGCAGCCCACACTTTAACACACTTGGTGTTAAAAACAGAGACACAGAAACACATTAAAGCCTTTGCATTTTCCTCATCCTTACTTGTTAGTGACCATCAAGTTTCAATCCTATGATTCTTTGTTTTCCTCTGTCTCTTGCTGTTAACATACATTAAAGGTGTTTGTTTTTTTTTTCCTGACATACCCTGGCCAAGGTGAGCTCTGGCTTTTCTTGTGTTCTTCCCACAGATGTGAACCACTGCTTTATCATCTCCCTGTGAAGCCTGACTGTGCTTCTGGAGTTGATATACTTTCTTTTTCTGCAGATGTTCAGGGAGGAGTTATCTGTGCAGCCTTATCACCCTTCTGCCCTGCTTGCTTGACTCGTGGCGCAGTGGGATTATGTGCTCCTGGGCTTCTAGGCACACCTCAGTCTTCTGGAGAGTCAGTTTCCAAGGGACCCTGCTCGCTATCTCCATTAGTAGCTTCAAGTTTGTTCCCTTAAAATCCAGGGTGGCAACTCTTCTATCTTCTCATTACACCAAAAGTTTTGAACTTCATTTCATTTCATGACCGCAGTGGCTGAGACAGCTACCTACTGTCACGTCTCCAATAAGGCCTTCTCTGTTCTGAAACAACAGACCTAGGAGGGCCTTTGCTACTTGTCATCTCAGCACTTGTCAGAGGACATTACCTTCAGTATGCTTCAGAAATTTCCTAGATGTGTTCGTTGGGGCAGAGCAGTGGTTCCACCTGATGGGAGATTTCAGCTTCCCAGACAGAAGGACGATTTGCACAAGCTTGTTATATTTCTGGGAAGCTAACATATAAATAAAAAGAGTAGGGGTGTAATGGCAAAACTGCACTTCAGTGATGCTGTCTTAGTAATTTAGGGATGATCTCTGTGATCTAAACTATATCTGTGGCGGTCATGTCAGAAAAGTGCTAGTGTGACAGGCAAATTATTGGCATATCAGTTGTGAAATATCTCAGTGTGTGGCAGCTTTAATATGTTTATTTAGTGTTCCTTGTTAGCTTGTTTTCTTTAGACACAACTGAAACAAGAGGCGTTGAGGTTGAGTCAGATTTGTGATTTGTTTGCTTGCTACTTGTTTTGTAGAGTTGTTAAAGGGGAGGGAGAAGCCATACCTTGGTCTGTTTGTTGGTCAGGACTTTGTTTCTGAAGAGTCTGGAGCTTTGTAGATGCTTTTGAGGAGGATATATTACTAACTGAATGCTACCCTGGTGTGTGGATTTTTCCTTGTTTTTTGGGGGAGAGGGAAGCCATGTTAATGAATTTTACAATTTTGTTTCTCTGCTGTGAAATTTTACCAGATCTCAGAATGTTCTCTGGTTTTGTACAAAAAGAAAACTTTGCCGAGAAGAAACTTTTACTGTTCTTTGCCTTCTGGCAATTAAGGATTAAATAAAACTTGGAAGCTTTGGCCTTTCTGAAGAGGGTGGGGGTATTGCTGAGAAGCATATAGTATGATTTTCTGCTTTTTAGTTTCAGTAGTGCCAGGGAGCTCAGCGTATGGCAACAGAATCCAGTTTTCCAGAAGGCTCAGTAGAATGCTAGGCTGCTAAGGAGAGTGGGAGTAAAACATGTCTCTGTTGTCCTTTTCATTGCATTTGTGATAGTAAAGAATACATTGTGCGTACATGAGACTCTTGGTCCAAAATACCTGTTGAAGCTCAAAATATGTTGCCTCTTGCATTTATTTGTAAATGTTGGAGAAAGAAGAATTAGCTGTACCTTGTCTTTTGTCTAGCCTGACTGCATTAACATTAATATTACTCTGCGCTGTACAACAGCAGTAATTCTGGATTCAGTTGTGTTAATTCTCCTATGATGCTACATCTGAAGCTGTCAGCTGGAGCTTTGGCCACTGCAGTACTGAACGTCAGCTAGTTGCCTTCTTGGCTTTACCTGGATGAGCTGTAGAAACACCTCTGTTTTCATCTGTATTGCAGTGAAGGAGCTGGTTAGCAGTAGAGAATCCCAGCCACTCCTCTTGTGTTCATGGTTCTGTAAATGTTTTAAATTGTTGCACAAATTAACAATAGCATTTTTGCCCTTTTCTGGGCCATGCATTTCAAGTTGGATTGGGGCTCCAGTATTGTAGTAGAACAACTTGATAGAACAACTTTTAGCTTTGTGTTCTGTACAATTTGTGAAACTTGAACTTGTTTGAGTTTGGGCAAAGAAATAATGGTTAATAGCACTTCATAGACATACAGAAGCTTCATTACAGTACCTGAAAATATGTCTTTGCTGTGCTGCTCTGAGCTCTGAAATGTTCTTTCCTTCTGTATAGCAAAGGAGAATCTACTGTGTTCAAGGCTCACACAGCAACTGTAAGAAGTGTTCATTTCTCCAGCGATGGCCAGTCCTTAGTTACAGCTTCTGATGACAAAACAATCAAAGTGTGGACAGTTCACAGGCAGAAGTTTTTGTTCTCACTCAATCAACACATAAATTGGGTTCGTTGTGCCAGGTAAGTACAGCGCTCTGTTGGTGATTTATCCTTCAAAATAGAAACTGAGCATTGTGGTCTCATGATTCAAATGTGTCGAGTGACTGAAATGTGTTGTGAATCTCCAGAGAGAGGCCTCAGATAGCAGTTGTGTACCCATTTTATATTTCTTTAGTGATTTTTTCTGCTTAGTCCTGTCTTTCATTTTATGTCTGTCATGAGTTTTGTATCCTGAATTTACCAACAGAGGTAAATGAAGGATTGTAATATAATTGGTTTTGCATCTTGGTTGTCTTCAGTCTTGTCATGCATCTGTTCATAAAGGGTCATCGGTGCCTCATCATTAGTATTTGGTTAAGAAGAATGCTTACAATTACATAATAATAATCTAAAGTGTTTTGGTGCGTCATGTCATTCATTTTACATATTCAGAAAGTTTAGCTAATGATCTTTGCTTTTTCTGTGATAACAAGCAGGTACACAGAATGCTGAAAGGGCTGCTGTTATGAAATTATCATTTCCTTGTTACTGCCTTAAAAAGTCAGTTTTCAGTGATCTATCATAGTTCTGAGGAATTTTTATGTGTATATATATTTAGGATAAAGCTGCAGGTTTCTATAAGTGTGATAATTTCATTAGATACTTTCATGGTGGCAGTGACCTATAGTACTATAGATGTCCGCAGAAGAGAAGGTGGGGTGTGTTTTCTGCCATGCACGATGATCTTCACTTATACTCAAGTCCTGATCATATTATATTTGCTTCTCAAGCTGTATGTTGATCTCCTCTTATATTAAGCTCCCTTCTAAAAATTTCACATACATTCATTTGATGCAGGAGAATGATGAAGCTTCTCCTCTAAGAGCTGTTGTCTTGGAAGTAATTACATTGCTGTGAATAGTTGTGGCAAAAATAGGAATTGTTTTTAGTCAGGATAGAGAAACAACTTGAGATTCATTTGAAACAAGTAGGACAGGGGACTGAAGACTTGCCTGGAGATAATGCAATGCACTCATGGCATTAGGGATAGTTTGAGGGCTTACAGGTAGTTTTTTTTCCCTCAGCTTCTGACAATTGTATTTTCAGTCTAACTAACATCCGTGTGGCTTCCTGAAGGATGAAGTGTGTGTTTACAGACTGACAAAGCTGGCTAAATCCAGTTGATCCTGGACACCTTTAATTTTGGTACACTTCTTAATTGCCATAACTCTTCTTCTAGATTCTCTCCTGATGGACGATTAATAGCATCAGCTAGTGATGATAAAACTGTCAAACTGTGGGATAAAACTAGCAGAGAATGTATACATTCCTTCTGTGAGCATGGGGGGTAAGTACCTGCCAGGGTGTAAGGACTGGCCTTGTTGTGATTGTTGAAGTGGGGATGTGTGATGAATGTTCATCTGTTTTTGTTACTGCAGCTGGAGATTCCTTCCCTGGAAATAATTTCCACCTCTTAGGGAAACATTAGTACCTTTTACAGTAGGCAGCCATCAGAGAATGAAATGCAAAAAGAGCATCTGGAATTGCTCTGATCTTGTTCTAAGTTGAAGTGAACTAAAAGCAAAAATGCTTTGGATGCTTTGTTGCATCCTCAGAGTGACAAAGAGTTGCTCAAAAAAATTTCTTTTTTTTTCAGTTGTCAAATGTGGAAATTTTGTTTCATACAAGATGTTGAGCTGCATCAAAAGTTAATTTGTCAAGAAATACAAAATGAGTCCTTAGAGTACTGAGATGGGCCTGTTCCCAGCTTCTCAAGTGGTCATTAATTTTACCCAATTTCGTGCAAGATGTACTTCACTAAAGATTAAGTTTTTTACTGTAGTTTTGTGTTTAAAAAAAAAAAAAAAAGAAGAAGAAAAATGATTGCATACAAGTCCAGAAAGGAAGTTGGTCTCTACTCCACTGTCTTGTGAGTAGCAGTATGGGATTTGAGGCAGAAATTCAATTCAGTTCTATCTTTAAAATTAGTTAAGACTAAGAAATACTGCTAAATTAGTAAAGGGCACATATTATGTAGACATATACACTTCAAAATGTTCTATGGTCAGATCCATCAAATTTCAGGAGGCTCTTAACACCTACAGCTCCTAACACAGCAATAATGAAGAGCTTTGGAGGCAGTTATTTTGAGATATGATCCTGCAGCCTGCTTGGGTTTATGAGCTTGGTCCTAAATGAAATTTGCCAGTGTGAATTTTCAATTTATTTCCTCCTTTCCACAATGTTCACTGTATCGTCATGTCGTTTTCTTTCCTGAAAAGCCAACTTTTTGATCTCAACCAAAGCTGAATATAAACAGTTGGATTTAACTACAATTTGCAGGTTTGCAAATCACGTGGAGTTTCATGCCAGTGGTACGTGCATTGCTGCAGCTGGTACAGATAACACTGTGAAGGTGTGGGATGTTAGGATGAACAGACTCCTCCAACATTATCAAGGCAAGTTAAGATCTTTGAAAAACCTGACCTGTCCATGTTTTGGTATGGATTGTCTAAAGTTCCAGGAATGTCTGTCACCTGTTTTTGCAGGAAGGTTGTGGCTTAGGCCCACAAGGGGAAGCCTTTCCTCACCAGCCTCCTGCTTTGCTTTGCTCTAGCTCAGAGATTAATTCTTGGCTATGGATAAGAAATGCTTTTGTTCTGGTTTCTCTTTGCTCACTGTGGAGAGGGGAAAAAAAGCCAAAACACTGGAACTGTCCCATGTTGCAGGTGTGGTTTGGTGATACCTGCTTTGCCACTTAGCTTTTATTTACTTCAGGAAATGATGTGCAGTAAAAAAGATGTGGCATTTGCCACCTAATTAAAAAAAAAAAAAAACCCAAAACAAAAACAGCAGCTTGTTTATCCTTGAAGTAGCTAGCTTTATATTTAGGAGGCTATACTTAATTTTTTTTCATCCTTACTTTCAGACCTATTCTTGTCAAATGGATTGATGCTGTTATTTGGTAGAACTGAGTATTGATAACAGACCTTCCCCATCCCTGCAAGCTGCTTTGAGTTTATTTTATTATTTTGTGCATATTAGTTGAGCCTAAATTTGGCTGCTCTTCCTTTACCATTAATGCTTTATGCAAAAAGAAGTTGGTGAGGAGCAGGAACAATCTGCAAATTTTTGAAGCCTTCAGTAATTTTCTGTGTATAGTGGGCTGTTCTGCTATTTGTATTTTGATCACACAATCTGACTTTTGCACTGAATGTGACATCATCATCATTGATAGTTTTCTTCTTGGGTTAAAATTATACATATATGTGTGTGTATGTGTATACACACATACATGTATGCACAAGCACACATATATATATATTCACATCTGTATATATGTATGTGTGCATATACAGTACTCCTCCACCTGGATTATGTTTTGTTCTTGGCTTATAAGTTTCAAGTGTATTGTTTCTTTGCAGCCAGGTCAAACAGTGTTTGAACTATTTAAATTTTAAACGTGTCTGAGCATCTCAAACTCTCGTATAAGGTTATTTTTATTTTACTTATTTCCATGGTTATTACTGACTCATAATCACTCCTAGTTCTGATAGTTAACAATCTCATGGAATAGAGCCTTTTGAGGATTGTTGTTCCAAATCTTTGTAATCATACCAGCTACATCATCATCAGTGAATGCTGATACTCATATTGTTGTGAACCTTACCATAACCTGGCAGTGCCTTTCTGAAGTTTTGCTGCTAACATGGGCAGCAAGTTTAAGTACTTTGGTGGTGTCAGATTGTCCCGTAACCTACTTTATCAGCTTTTCAACAGTGGCAAGGTTTGCAGTGCTTTTTCCCAGCCACCATATCATTTGGCTGAAAAATGGTCTCTTCCTGCTTTCCCCTTACTGCTGTTAAATTGTCTGAGTGTAATGTGGTTTAGGTTCAACTGCCAGGTTTACTTCTGACTTGGAGTTGTATATTTTGCCTGTTTCTTACCCTTACTAAATAGCTTTTTTGGCTGACACTCTTTCTATTGAAGAGATCTTTTCCTGTTATCAGTGTTCTTTTAGCAGCTACTGTGCAAGTCCTCATAATTAATTAAATTTTGAGCTTAAAGTTGTTGTGTAGCCAAAGAAATGTACAACTGCTGTTGGCCGATGCTTGGTGCACCGATGCAAGTACTTCAAGCTGCATTCATAACATATTTTCAAGATGAGTTTGTAAATTCTGCTCTATGAGGGGTTTCACATGGACCTTCTGGCTAAACCAGATACAATTTTGGGGCTTTCCCAGGTGGAGCTGCCCGCTCAGTCCCACTAGGGGGAGTCTCTTTCCTTTGTATGTGCTTACGCTGCCTGATTTTAGGGGGAATCCATTTTAAATATGCGGTCGCACTGAGGAGTTAATGGCTAAGCAGCCCTGCTGCAGACTCTTATGCGTTGAAGTCTGGTCCTTTTCCAGAAAGGGGTAAGTCGTTTAGCTGTGCTGCTCCTGTTACCAGGCCTTGTTCCAACTATAACATTTGCAAAGGAAAATTGGATGTGGAGTGCAAACTGCAAAACTTCCTGCATGGTGTGTATTTAGAAAAGTAAAGATGCTCTGCTCCCATTTGCTGTTCAAAGTAAACAGATGCTTTACTCACTTGCCTAGTTAGTGCTAACTCTTTGTACAGCAAGTCAACCCCTAATTAAAATGATCAGCATTTATTACCTGAAGACTTTTTTTCCTGTATGAAGGTGTGTGTAGGGCATTTCACTTGCACGTCTGTGGAAACAGACTTAACCGAGTTATTCATTGCTGGTTCAAAAGAGCACTTGGTACATGTCTACACTTCAGACAGAGCTGTTGGTGGATAGCAGCTTCTGGCCTTGTGGCTGTGTCAGGTTCATACTGGGATTATTTTTTTTTGCCTGCTTGTCACTACTTCTGTGTATTCAGTGCCTGCATGGCTGGAGTGACTCAGTATTCAGCAGCTAACTTGTAAATGCAATGATTGAGTGCAACATCCGTTGCTGAACTTATTTTTCTCAGGCTTTGTCAGCTAGAGTCAGCTTGTAACAGTGTGGCTGTGGGAGATGCCACCTTGTGCTGCACCCCAGATATTGGTTACAGTGTGAAATTGCTGCTGCTTCTGGGGGAGATGTTGTGAGCGTTTTTTTGGGAGGTATGAGTTGGTGTGGCAGAAGAAAGATGCAGTTTTCCCTGAGCTTAGGCAGACAAGAGCTGCTTGGGCAAGAAGCTGTGACTGCTTCCATGGGCACAGCCTGTGTTACTTCTTTCCATTATGAAAAGTTTTTTTAACAAAACTGGAAATACTGCATTGACTATCTGGAACTCCAAGGATGTATCATTAGTTTAATCTCTTTCTTATTTGATTCCTGTTAGGACTTGCTTTTGTTGGCATAATATGTGCTTGCTTGTATCTGAATATAGACAATGAAGGGACGAAGAATATTACAAATCCCTCAGAATAAAATTTTCTGGAAAAAACATGTATTTAGTGTTCTTTTAGAAGCTAAAATTCCACATACGCTTTTTCTCCAGTATGACATGATAAGGATGAAGGGTTGAGAGGAAGATCTAGCTGTCTGTTGTAGATGGTGTTCACCATCAACTGTGGAGAAGCTACCAGTCTTGTGTTAAGATGGTTTTTATCTGTGTGTTTTTTCAATCATGCAGCTCAAGAGGAACTGTGTTGTAAGAACTCAAGCTGAGTTAACTCTGAGAGTTTGAAAAGCATATACATTCAGTTTCACAGTTGAGCAAGATTTTTTTTCAGATTCCTTCTTCACATTCACATGTAGGTGTGAAAGAATTGATCCTAGTGTCTAAAATTGCATTTTACTTGTCCATTTTTAACAGGCAGTTTAGATCTGTCGTGTACATCAGGCTCCTAAGGGAGCATAGGTTTAGTTTGGAGGTGTTGAGAAGGGTTGTATCAGTAATAATAGTTTCAAGATAGAATATCTGTAGGGCAGTTGGTATAATTAAGAACAGTTGGATAGTTAAGCATAGTCTTACTATTCTATAATGTCACATACGCTTAGAAAGCTGTGGAGAAATGTATGTCTTGTAAATATATCCACAATATTTTGTAAAAGGTTGCAGGGAAAGAAGTTCTGTGTGAGGTAGATGCTTGATGTTGCAGTAATGTAGAAGTGTTTTTTCCTAGAGCACTTTCCTTAGCTCTCTTCAGAATAACTCTTAGGTTCCATGTTTGTTCAAAAAGAATTGCTTTATTGGAGTCATAGAATTGTAGAATCACCAGGGTTGGACAAGATCCTCAAGATTACACTCCTAACAGTTTGTCTACTCATTCTCGTTATTTTGATTTTTTTCTATGGTAGGGAATTGGATGGCTGAAGAAATAATGTTTGTATTGGACCATTTTCAATTTTGCCATTTCTTTTTTCCTAGTTCTTGCTACACCTAGCATTGGTTAGAGTCAGGGAGTAAATAAAGGACGACAGTTAAAAACAAAAGCAACCAAACGAACACCCTGCACAATACCAATGTTAAGTTTGTGTTTCAGCCTTCTCATTAATATATAAGCTTATAGATTCTATTCTAGAATTACTCGGCAACAAGAACAGCAGCTCACCTGTGGCCAGATATGTCAGCATCCCTCTCTGTCACAGAACTGTGTAACTCACTTGTGAATATAGTTACGTTATAGGGCTACACTGGAAGCTTTTATAGTCTTAAATCTCAGAATAACTGGCAAAGTTTCCTCTTTCAGTGAAGTAGTGGCTGTTTTTACAAGAATTGAATGCTGCCCTTGTTCTCCAGTGCTTTGAGGAGTTTGGTGGAATGTTTCCCCCTTGACAGTTTTCCTATTAAACTTCGTAACAGACATTGGAATGTGCATGTACTTTATTTTATTCTTTTGCCTCGGGCTTATGTAAACTGGTCTCAGTGATTATTGTATACATCTTTTACATCCTTAGTGCACACTGCTGCGGTAAACAGTCTGTCCTTTCACCCCTCTGGAAATTACCTGATTACTGCTTCCAATGATTCAACTCTCAAAATTCTGGACTTGCTCGAAGGAAGACTTCTGTATACTCTCCATGGTCACCAGGTAAGGAAAAGTGTTTTGTACAAAAGCACAGAAACATGCAACACACTGGGCAAATCTGTGATCAACCTGTGCATGTCAGTGTTTGTGGGCAAAAGTCATTTGAAAACTTCCTTGCTTATTAAAATAATAATGATGATGATAATGAAAACCTTTGAGATCATTGCTGTTTGGCGTAAGGGAGGAAAAGGAGGTAAAATGGGAGCAGAGAGAATAGATGATGACAAAGCAAGACGTTCTGAGTGCTCAAATACTGAGGGTGAAGCCTAAGGCCCAAGGGATACCACCAGTGCTGTGCTTCAGGTTCTAACATGCTGTGTAGTCTCTGTTCTGCAGATCAGACCCCTCCCTCTCTCTAAATAGGTGCAAACAGCACTCGGCCTTCTGACATGAGTGAAGATATATGCTGTTTGTCTGACAGTAGGCGTAAAATAGAGGAAATTATATTTTGAGATGTCATTTGGGTGCGTTTCCATTTTGTTAACTGGCTGAATTAAATAATTGAAGGTGATAAATACTGCCAGCTGGTTAGGTTTAACTGATTGAACTATTAGTATTATGCTGCCGGACATGTTCCTTGTAAAGCTAATTATTATATGAATGCTTGGGGCTCTCATTTTAAATAAATTGATTAATTTTATTGTCTGTTCCAACTGGGGCTCAAAGGCACAAAAAAGTAAATGTGTTCTAAAGATTCATTTTCCTAAGGGACAAAACAAATTCCTAACCCACTTGTCTCTTTGTTATACTGAGGCTGAGTTTTGAAGCATCAAAACTATCTGGGGAAAATCATACCCTGAAGCTGCTGGATGGTTGATTCTGGACAATAGCAACATCTGTGTAAGCTGAGGAACTGATAGTTCTGGTTTCTTGTGGCTTTATGCATAATGATTGCTTTATCTGATATCTAAAAATCCCTGAATTCATTCAGCAACTTCTCCTTGACTTTGTATTAGTAAATTTTTCTCCTTTTTGTGGTACTAGTGGGTAAATACAGCAATTTCATACTTGAAGTTCTGCCTCATGGAAAGATCTGATTTAAACTCCTTTGGTCAGTTTTTATGCTGAAAGGAATGGAACAAAGATTTGAAGAGAAGATAACAAATGCTGCATATCTCAAGACATAAACTTCAACTGCATAAAACTTTCTTCTTTGGAAAGTGGTGAGTGGGTGCTAATGTCAGATAGGACTTCAAAGCTTTCACCTATTGTTCTAATCTGATTTTCATATTTGTCTCTTTTGTTAATTGGTGAAGAAAAAGCTTAGGAAGTAGCTTTCTGGAAAAGGGTCAGTGTGGAGGGAGAGTGGATCTTTCTGCCTTTTATACTTCTCCTAGGAAGCGATGTGGATGGTTATTGTTTGTTTGGAAGCTGAAGCTGCTTTCCATTCTTTCCTCCTTTCTGAAACGTAGACAGTTTAGCTTTGAATGAGAATCCAACGTGGATTATTGCAAATAAGGTTGTCAGAATTAGATAATAGAAAGAACCTTTAGACCGGTGCTGTACTGAACTCAGGGTTTCTACAAAACAATTGTATCTTAAATCATCTATTCAGATCTGGGGTTAAAGCCCCTTGATTTTATTTTTTTTTCCCTGTTGTTTCAGATCATTGAGGTAACAGCCATCACTCTCTCCTATCTAACTGGTATTGGAAAGGCTTTGACAGCAACACAGCTAGCTGCTGTTGTGGGGTTGTACTTCTTCCATTTTGGAAACAAGGAGAAGTATAAAAGTGGCAGACAGTGCTTTCTGATCTTCTTTTAAGGGTATTACATCAAGGTGAAATATGAACAGAACCAGTCCTGGCATAATCCTGAGTTGGCTTTCACTCTGCTGATTACTGTATTGTGAGGTTTTTAATTTCTGGTTCGGCAGATGTATCTTACCTTTTCACTTAACAAGCATGATAACCTGTTCTTTGTTCTCAGCGTTGGTGTATAAATGTGGATTTTTTGATCCTCAGGACCTTTTCCTCCAGTCTCACTGTGATTTCTGCCAGCATCTCTAAAAATAAAGTGGGTGTGGATTTTTGTTGTTGTTCTTCATTAAGTAGATTTGCCTTTTCAAGGGAGGGCTGTAGGTTAATCACCAAATGAGCAGCCTGTTCTGAAGACATTTCTGAGTTGTGGCTTTGTGTGGGTGACTGTGTCGGTCCTCAGTTCTTATTCTGGCAGCTGACTGCTGCTGTGTTGTTGCAGAGAGGCTGTATGTAAGTGGACGCTTGAAGGAAAATGCCTTAATGTCCTCTTTATGTACTTTGACACAACTGTTGGAGTGCTGGGAGTTTGTTACCAGCTGATTAGCTGTAGTTTACATGGGGAGGACTGCATCGCTGTCTTTTAAAGTTGTGATGGAGCTGGCCCTGTTGTAACAGAAGGATCATTAGAGACAGGAGTTTGCAACTTGGAGCTGACATCTTGCAGATGTGAGATATCATCCTGTGCTGTTCTGCATATTTTCATTCTAGCGTGCTTCAAGCTGTAAAGTACTATTGCCTAAACTCATACAGATGAGACACTGGGTTGGTATGTAAGTCCATCTCTGGCACTGAATCATCACGGAGGAACACAATGTTTTGGAGCATCTAGGTAGTTGCTAGAGAGTAACAGGTTGTAGAGCATTTCCAGACAGCTTCTGTAGTGGCATAAATATTCCTTGTAAATATTTAGGAGACGGCGCTTGGTTATATGTATAAATAGGAGGCCAGAAAATAAATTCTCCAAGCAACTTGAACAACCAAATAGCTGCATTCCACTTGCCTGGGTGGCATGAGTGCTCTCGGCTTTCCTGGTTGACTTAAGAGCAAGATTTTCTGAGCAGGTGCTCAAGAAATGAACATGCCACTTAACTACCTGCTGCCAGCTCTTCATAGGTGGCATTAAGCATCCATGCAGGTCTTGCCATCCCTAGAAGGTGCGAAGACATTCAGGATTGCAAAGAAGTGGATCAGCCCAAGGAGAGAGGGGTTATGCATTATGATAAGCACTTGGCTTTTGATGAACATTTCTGAATATTGAAAGGAAATGAGCGCTCTATTCTTTCCTTGCATGTACTTTCTGTTGGTGGTTTTTTGTGTTGTTGTTTTTTAAACTGGAGCTTTCAGGAATCTAAAAGATATTAATTATGAGGTGCCAGTATGTTAGGGAAACAGCAGATTTCCAGCTGTAGCACACCTTACTCTGTGCTGGGAAGGTGCAGGCTTGGCTTTCTCACTCAGTGTAGCTGGGAAAGGCTCTTTAAAACTCAGTCCATTGAAAATTATTACGACTGGGGGCATTTAGCATGAAAACATGCCATTTACCTTTAGCGCCTCAATCCTATGTGCTTTTCTTAATTCCCCTTTCCCTTTCTCTTCCTTATGCTTTCACTATCACTGTGCAGTTTTTAAGAGTCCAGTGGTTTGTATTGTAAGGATAGGCAATACAGATGCCACTTAAAACTGGTTTCGGATCACCCAAGAAAGGTAATCCAGTTGCAGTCTGGTAACAAAGAAGGAATCGCTTACCTGTTTCAGGGCTTGTGAAACATTCCAAAAGAGGCAGTGTCCAAGTAGAGATGCTTCCCTTGCAGCAGCCAGCCCTTACATGAGGTTAGGAAGCACAGGTGCTCCCACCTGCACTTCCAGAGCTGGCTATGCCCCATCAACAGGTGGTCCATCCCTGGTTCAGGCTGTCACCCAATGGTTCCCATACACTTAAGCCCTTCATGGCATGAAACAGTGATTGAATGTATCAGGGTCAAACTGCCTTTTACAGTGTAGTACATAATTGCAGTCCCAGCAGAGATACAATTTGTTGTGACACTGTGTTATTATTTCATGGACACAATTTTTCCATAAAGAGGCTGCAGTTTTCAGTTCTCTGTCCTTCCAGCTTGTTTTGCAGAAGACGTTCAAAAAGTCCGTCATTAAATGTCACTGAAGAAGACAATGTCATGTAATTCTTCAGTTACACCTGACCTCCTGCTGCTTCTGCTTCTGTCAGTCATGTCAGGGGGCCTGAAGAGGTGTTTAGTGGGTGCTAAGAGAGGCAGACCTGCCTTCTATGGCAGACTGCATGCTGTATTCCTGTCCTGAATAAGCCTCTGCTTGGACAGAGGCATGTCCAGGGCTTTTATACCACATCCTCTGGCTGATGGTTGGATAATTACCTCAGGTACCAAAGGAGGGTTCTGATCTGCCAGAGATATAATTATGGTCCTCTTCATGGTGAAAATTGGGGTGTGTATTATAATTTCTGATGTCCATGTGCCAGTTACTGGTGGTATTACCATTCCTCTTCCTTCTAATATTCTTCCCTATGGTGTGAGTAGTCCACGCCGATTTGGCCCTACTTGCACTTCCCAAGGCCAGCTTGCCTTGTGGGTTCCAGGTTCGAAGTTCTCAGGGGCAGGGACTAGAAGATTATTTATCATTCCAATTTAGGGTTTCAGTCACTGTCAGTGATTTACGGGCTGGTTTGGCCCAATTCTGTGACTGGTGGGGTGGAGGGATTCATGAATCCATGCCTCTGAGAAGGGAAAACATGGGACCCCAAAACAATTAAAAACAGCGGCAACGGTCTGAGTAGAAACAAACTGATTTACTAAATATGGAATGGGAATGCAAGATAATACACACTATATACAATATAATTAGAATTGAAGGTAATGAATCAGATATAATGAGAGAGAGAGTATATGAAAGCCTTACACTGGTGCTGCAGCGATGCATGTGGTCGAGACAAGCAGCATCGAGGAGAGCTGAAGGAGGAAGAAAAAAAAAAGGGACATCAGCGGACCTTGCCAGGGGTTATATCTCCTCTCTGACCACAAAGCCCCCCAGAATATGTAGTTCTTCTCTTCCAGGCAGGTGCCCGGAACTGGTCCATTAACAGTTTAACTCCCAGAGCACTACATGATGTTATGACGTGGAATAATAATAACCAAAAATCATAAAACCATGACTGTCATATATTGCTGCCCTTAGTTTGGATCCTAAGGGGGGAGGCCCGAGCTGTTTGTAA